TGCCCATTGACACAAATACATTTTTAATAGAAGCTCATTTGGTCTATGAAGAATCAGTCTACACTAGTGGAAACACCATTGTTAAAATAACGTACATTGAATAAAATAACGCATAAGCAATTCTTATATAGCAATCGGGGTATATTAGCAAGTCGAGTTTTTTGCAACTGGAAGTTTTGTCTGAAGAAATGCTCGTTACTTTTGACGCAAAAATATCAAAACTTATCTTGATAACGTCACGCCATCGTAATTATGCGGCCCAAATCAATCTGAATAGCACGATACATTTACAGTTAACCTTGACGAAAAAATGTCTAAACATGAAGACTTAATTATACCCTATCAATCAAGTCATGCCACTTGGATCGATGGTCGTCAGCCCTCGATATCACGGCCCTGCACAGGGTATCAGTGATACGCCAATTGGCAGTCGAATATGGAGGTGTTGTTAAGCTTCACTTTAACCCAGCAATTCAATTGTTTCAAAATTAGTTATATTTTAGACTTTTAGGACCATTTACCCAGTGCAATGAAAGATGTGAGTAACTGCATTATAATGATTTGCAAGGAAAAAAAAATAAAAATAAAATCAAAAACCATTTTCTACAATTTACCATAAAAACAACTCGTTAGGTGCTCATGTGTTAATTTTCATATAGGAGATTTAAAATATATAAAAAACAATTATTTACAACCCTTCAAACAAATTATGATACATAACAACAGCACAATTTAAAGAGTATGATTAAAAATATTATTTCGAAAATTTCGCTTAAAAACTTTTTATTGCGTGCCCCGATGCTATTAGATGCTATACCACATATCGTACATGTCCGCTGCTATACCACATATCGTACATGTCCGCTGCTATACCACATATCGTACATGTCCGCTGCTATACCACATATNAACTACCTTGCCTGTGAGAGTTCCGTTTATTGTGTAAAGATAAAATAAAGAACTAACGTCCATCGTGACAGACAACGGCACCTAATGACGGATAATGGAACGTTCTTAATTTATGATAATGTTTCTATTTAATTTTTCATGCTTCTATTTCGTAGCAGCTACCTAATTTAACTATAACAAATCATTGACAAACATGTTATATTCTAAAACCAAACGAATTGGTAAAATAACTTCCATTTTAGTTCCATGAAATATTATTGAGCCCAAAACCTTCATTTATATAAATTGCTTCGAATCATTAAATATTTGCCAATTTCTCTTGCCAAAATATAGAACGGTCATAAATATAGTGTACGGTTACCAATTAACTTACCTAAGCATGCATAAAATATAACTTTGTTTATTAGATCAATGAACACAAGAAAAGGGGCGAAAAACTAGGAACAATATTGGCAGAGACCACTACATATATACGATCACGTTAATAATAACGCGCGTTTCTCCTTGTGAATTATCAACTTACAGCGCACATCTACTACAAGGTAATTTGAATATAGAAGCCTTTTAAGAATAAAATTCGAGTAAAATAATTTCAATCTACAAAACACGCGCTATTTATTCCCAGAACTTGTCGTCCGCAGAATGCATGTACGAAGCTATTCAATCGATGATACATACCAACTGAAATAATAACGAATACTATAATTTAATATGAATGAATATTACTATCATGAATAAAAATTTATGGCATAATGAATTATAGCGTCAAGGAACCAGGCTTCATCATGAACGAATCGTTCAAGTAATTTCAGTCAGGCTGGCGTGAGGCCTAATTTAAGAGNCGGTAGCGCTGTGGTGGCAATGCCTCGCATCGCTACTTAAATAGGTAGCGGGCGCTATCTCTACATTGCCTAAAATATAGCGCCGCTACCGCTACTGAAAATGTAGCGGCCGCTAGTAGCGGCCGCTACATGTAGCGCGCTACTGCCCACCTCTGCCAATTTCTCTGGCCAAAATATAGAACGGTCATAAATATAGTGCACGGTTGCCAATTAACTTACCTAAGCATACATAAAATATATCTTAGTTTATTAGATCAATGAACACAAGGAACGTAGCCTAAAACTAGGAACAATATTGGCCGAGGCCACTACATATATACGATCACGTTAATAATAACGCGCGATTCTTCTCGTGCATTATCAACTCACAGCGCACATCTATTACAAGGTAATTTGAATATAGAAGCCTTTTAAGAAAAAAATTCGAGTAAAATAATTTCAATCTACATAACACGTGCTATTTATTCACAGAACTTATCATCCGCAGAATGCATGTACGAAGCTATTCAATCGATGATACATACCAACTGAAATAAAAACGAATACTATAATTTAATATGAATGAATATTACTATCACGAATAAAGATTTATGGCATGATGAATTATAGCGTCAAGGAACCAGGCTTCATCATGAACGAATCGTTCAAGTAATTTCAGTCAGGCTGGCGTGAGGCCTAATAATTTAAGAGCGACCGTAAATTCCGCCCTAGTTACAAAACTGAATTATCCTCCTCGGAACGTAAATAACACGCTAAGTGGACATAAATTTGGATCAAAAGAAAGACTCGGCACGGGAAATGCGTCAGTAGGTACTTGTATAGGCAGCAGTACAGCAGTACTTGTATAGGCAGCAATGAAGCAGTACTTACTTGCATGTATAGGCAGCAGTATATATGGGTTCTTGTACGAGTAGCAGTCCAGAAGTACTTGTATAGCCTAGGTATAGCCTGCAGTACAGCAGTACTTGTATGAGTAGCAGTAGGACAGTACTGATATACAACGTGTACAAGTAGCAATACGGTAGCACCATTACGAATTCAAGATAACAGCTGTTTAACAGCTAAGATTACATCTGTTTAACGGCTGGAGATAACATCTGTTCAACAGCTGAAGATATCATCTGTTTACCAGCTGAAGATAACATCTGTTTAACAGCTGAAGATAACATCGGTTCAACTGCCGAAGATAACATATGTTCAACAGCTGAAAATAATAGCTGTTTAACAGCTGAAGGTGACATCTGTTTAACAGCTGAGGAAAACATCTGTTTAACAGCTGAAGATACTATCTGTTTAACAGCTGAAGATAGCAGTGCTGTAGGTACGAAAGTGTGTCACCAGTAGGACTATATCATCCACATCTTTTTCTACTGCGGAATTTCTGTATTAAATTCGGTGTTTGCAGCGTACGTGTGCGTGAGCGATCATGATCAAGTAATTCATATATCATTTATTACCTCATTTGCCAAATATTTATATTTCCAGAAAAAATCAGTTGTGATACCAAATCCTCGAAATGAAAACAAAATTAGGTAAAAAGAAAGTGCAATTTTGCACCGCAATTCTTGTTTTGCTTTATCACGTGCAGACGGCAGCTGGACTTCAGGGAACCTTTCAGAAGGTGAGGCATGCATTCATGAGGAAATGCAATGTCATGTATATTATTTTTTGCTTTAGACGCTTTAATGATCAAATTATCATCCCAACTTTAAAGATACCGAAGTTATCATTAGGGTTACCCCTTGAGAACGGCGAATGATAGTGAAGGGATTTACTATAATGATTGAACAAAAGATTTACTATAATCAACTTCCATCCATTATCCACTTAGCTCCAATGTTACGCAAAAGAATAAAATCACCCCTAATAATTATTTATTGCAATTTAAACTGCATGCATGCAAGTTTAAAGCCTATGTCTATCTAGATTCATCAATTTAAATCCTATTCAGCATATTTTTTTCTTGCAAATGGCAGTTCGCGCTGGCAAACGAGACCAGATATCGCAGCATCTGTCCACCCGACCTCTTCCCGCTGCTGCCACAAATGAAGATCCAACAAACGATCCTCTGCTACAGCTTCTGCGTTCAACAGCCAACTTGCACCATCTTTTCTGTAGCAGGTGCATTGTTCGACACTTTTTAAGAGATAAATGATGGCATTGCACCACTAAACTTACTGTATATAATGTAATAGTTAAACTCATTTGGATGTAACTACATTCTGAACTTTACGACCATTTTAATTACGACAAAACTAATAGAATTCTTCAATCAGAATAAATATGAGAGGATCGCTTGATTGAGTAACTTTGTATGAATGTGTAAGTTCATATTAATTACTTACATTCTTGTATCGTCGCGCAATTGAATCGACTTCTTCGACGACACGAAGTTACAATGTTACGCAAAAGAATAAAGTTACACCTAATAATTATTTATTGAAATTTAAACTGCATGCATGCAATGTTAAAGCCTATGTCTATCTAAATTCATCAATTTAAATCATATTCAGCATATTTTTTTCTTCCAAATGGCAGTTCGCGCTCGCAAACGAGACCAGATATCGCAGCGTCTGTCCCCCCGACCTCTTCCCGCTGCTGCCACAAATGAAGATCCAACAAACGATCCTCTGCTACAGCTTCTGCATCCAACAGCCAACCTGCACCATCTTTTCTGTAGCAGGTGCATTGTTCGACACTTTTTAATAGATAAATGAAAGCATTGCACTACTAAACTTACTGTATATTATGTAATAGTTAAACTCATTTGGATGTAACCAAATTCTGAACTTTACGACCATCTTAATTACGCCAAAATTAATAGAATTCTTCATTCAGAATAAATATGAGATGATCTCTTGATTGAGTAACTTACTAACTTTGTATGACTGTGTGAGGTCATATTAATTCCTTACATTCTTGTATCGTCGCGCAATTGATTCGACTTCTTCGACGACACGATTTTTTGGCTTCAGCTTTGTCGTCGTGATGATATTAATAAACATGTAACATTATTTCTAGAAGTAGGAGAGAAGTTTATCAACATAGAATTTATTCAATCAAATCTCAATTTTACTTTGCAAACGACATGAATATGTAGGTATATGAGCCATTCAGGACGACCCAATGATTGATTTCCGACCCAAAAATAAAAAGATTGACATTTATTACAAAGAAAAATTCTTTAAAAAGCCATTTCAAGCTGGACTATAAAACTTTTATGACGTGAAGTTTCGTACCAGACGACGTGTGCTCCGTGTGGTCGTTCCAAACGGACCCGAGCTACGAAGCAGTGACGCTGCCAGGGCCAACCGTTGTGGCGTATTGGCCAAAACGGACGGCGCCCGTTACGGCCGTGGATGTCGCTATGGGGAAACCTGTGTTCACGGCTGGGGTCTTCGACGGATACTCATCTGCTTCCATGCTGGTGGGTAAACCGCTATGTTTTACACGGAAATTGTTATTAGTATGAAATAAATAATGAAATTCTACGTGCACATCCAGATTATTGCTAATCACATATCAATGCTGAATGATTGTCACTGGAAACAGCGAGGCTTTTTGGGAAAATAAGAACCCTTCAAAATTTTAAAATTAATTATAGGGAAATGATCTTTTCCGGAATTGTTTTTTAAATAAATTTTTCTCACAGACGGCTGGCACGACATGCTACAACACGATGGAGGATTGTTTCTGCTCGCCAGACTACGACAACTGGGCGGTGGTAGACCTACAGACCAGCCTGCCCATCAGGACGGTTGTCATCACAGGCCCAGCTTTTGACGACGTCGAGTACTTCAGAAACATCGTTGTGCGCGTGAGTAAATATGTACCGGCTATAATGATCAATTTTGATGTTTTATGTCAAAGAAGGAAATTAATTTCCTAATATGCATTGATGAAAGTTCCAATATAGTGTTTTAGTTGTTCTTTTAACGTCCTCTACTAAGGACGATTTATATAGTACAGCTGGCATGATGGCTGCCTGGTTTCTAATGTCGGTGAAGAGCAAAACAAATCAAACTGTTCTGAAAATTAGGTTAGTTTTCTAAATGAAATAAAGTTATTAATTTATGCCTTGCAATCTTCTTCCTAGTAATTTAGCCTCAGAATATATAAAAGAATTTATTACGCATTGAAATTAAATGGTTGCAGGCGGGCAACATCGGCAACGATACAGACCCGATCATCGGCACGACTCCAAACATCAATGGTTCAGACTACCAACAATATACCTTGGCCAGTGAGTGATGCATATACGCGCGATGTAACGCATGTGAGTGATGCCTATACTCCGAGTGAGTGCGTGACACGCTCATCTTTGTCACGACAAGTCAGTGGCATGCATGCTGGTTGAATATAATGCAGGGAAGAAAGGAATTTATATAGATCAAAATTTTGAATACATACAAGTACATATTTGTTAATGCAAATTGTACCCATCACTCACCTGAATGTTTCAGTTGCGTCCGGCAGCATTCGCTACATTCGGCTTCAGTACGAGGCCAACATTGCGGCAATCTGCTTCTGCAAACTTCAAGCATTCCTGTGAACAAAACAACGATTTTCACAGGAACTGGTCCTTTTACAATTTGATTAATTTTTCAATTATTATCATGCATTTTGAACATTTGTTTAAACTTATCATTTTTTTGACTGTTAAGGAACAACTTTAGCTCATTTCATTGATTCTACATTGAACGAAATAAAGTTTGCAATGCGTTTGCCACTGATGGGGGCCGTACATACATTTGGTAGTTTTTGATTGAATATTACAAATTATACTTTATTTAGAATCTGTTCTTAATTCATTATGAATGTGAATAACATAGATTTATCCATTAACGTAAAGTTGTTTTTTAATTTTAACTTTGTCTGTAAATCAAGTTCTGCCATTTTTCTGTACACATGAAAACTCATTATAACGCAGTTACTTACATATTTCATTGCACTGGATGAAATAGTCTTATAGGCGCAAAATATTATAAATTATATAGCAATTTGATACCGATTTGATGACTTGATGGATATGGTAAGATAATAGTTCCATGGCGAGGCTTTGTAAATAGGGTAAGATGAAAGTTCAATAATAATCTGCTAATAAAAATACCGGATGGTTCTAGTTCTGCATTTATTATGTTAATGAGTAGCTCGAAGACGGGAGCAAAGAGTCAGTTTACAATCATCCTTATTGGTATTGTTTCCTGCTCCATAAGGATGCAACTTAATGATAAGTTCCTAATCTTTAAGTAAACAACAAATAAATTAATGTTCCAGAAGTCATTCAAATAAATGATGGAACGATGATCTAGAATGTATATATCAAAAAATATTATAGAATGAGTACTCTCACTTCCACATTTATTCACAGTCGTCCAAGAAATTTTATATCTTCACTAAGTTGTGCAGTGAACTTTATTGCTGTGCATGTCCGCGGTCATTTCCCTAATTGCTCTTCGATTGGTCAGAATATTGCAAATGCGATGCTCATCCCGTGTCAATTCATCAGAACATTCATATTTTAAATCGAGAACAAGATATTTTCAATTAAATATATTGCCTATATTAAGAAATGCGATGTCCACCAACACAGAGGCGAGTGAAACTTGTCGCAATGCACCTCCTTATTACAAGATTTACAAAATCATTTGGAACTAAAGTAAGATTCAGTCTTCATGCTTTTACATTTTTTCTGGCAATCTTTATAAAGGTGAACAGTCAGTAAGTCGTGCAGTTCAGATTGCTTTGAGCGGCAGTTGCTGCAGCAATTCCGATAGCGTGACATTATCAAGATAAGTTTGATATTTTTGCGTCGAAACGAGCGTTTCTTCCTACAAAATTTGGAAGAATAATTCCGACTTGCACTCCGCGTATAGTTGCGAATAAGCGCATTGTACGAGCTTATTTTTTAGCGCAGTTTCTCATTTATGGAAAAAAAGGCGCTATTATGCTCGTCATGTCCGTCCGTCCGTCTGTCTGTCTGTCCGTCCGTGACACACTTAATACTGAAAAACAATGATTGGTGGTGGCTTTTGCCCAACGGATCCTCGTGGCGAATCTCATGTATCGTTGGTTCTTCACTGGTAAACACAAATTCTAGAATATTTGGGGTCTGTTTTCCCCTAAAATGGGTTGGCTTGGTGATGTTCTGGATTACAAATGAGTCCCGCACAGACTCACAGACTCATGAGACTCTCACAGACTCATCACATATCAATGTTTAATGATTTTCATTGGAAACAGCGAGGCGTTTTGAATAATGAGAACCCGTCAAAAATTTAAAATTATTGATAAGGAAAGGAATCCTTTTAAATAACTTTTTCTCACAGACGGCTGGCACGACATGCTACAACACGATGAAGGATTGTTTCTGCAGCCCCGCGGACGACAACTGGGCGGTGGTCGACCTACAGACCAGCCTGCCCATCAGGACTGTTGTCATCACAGGCCCAGCTTTTGACGACGTCTTGTACTTCACACTCATCGTTGTGCGTGTGAGTAAACTGGTACCGGCAATAATAATTCTTTTCGATCCGATATTTTTATATCAAAGAAGAAACTTAATTTCTTAATGTTTTGATGAAAGTTCTGATATATGATGAAAGTTGATTTTTAACCCAGTCAAAAAGTTTTCTATACGAAGGTTTAGGTGTATTGTCTTTAACCATAAATTTATTATAGTCGTACATAAATATTTGCTACATCACTAGTGTCACATAGACACTCTACTGAGGACGTACGATATAGAAAAGGTGGCATAATTGCTGTCTGATTTTTAATGTCGGTGAAAGAGCAACTTTCGATAACAAATCACACTATTCTGAAAATTGCGTTAATTCTCTGAATGCAACGAAATTATTAACTTGAATGCGCTTAAATGCAAATCTTATTCCTAGTAATTTAACCTCAAAATACATAAAAGAAATCATTACACATTAATATTAAATGGTTACAGGCGGGCAACATCGGCAACGCTACAGACCCGATCATCGGCACGACTCCAAACACCAATGGTTCAGATTACCAACAATACAACTTCTCCAGTGAGTGATGCATATACGCGCGATATAACTCATGTGAGTGATGCATATACGCGCGATATAACTCATGTGAGTGATGCATATACGCACGATATAACTCATGTGAGTGATGCCTCTACGCACGATATAACTCATATAATAATTATGCCTATATCCAGGTCATAACTCGTTTTAGTCATGCCTATACGTACGTTATTATTCATATTAATCACACCTATACGCACGTTATAACTCATAATAATCATACCTCTACAATAGTTAGAAAAAGTAACTCAGCTGTTACTCAGCCAAGTGAGTGACACGCGCATCTCTGTCACGACAAGTCAGTGGCACGCATGCTGGTTGAAAAATGCTGGGATGATCGGAATTTATATAGATCGAAATTTTGAATATATACAAGTACATATTTGTTAATGAGAATTGTACCATCACTCACCTGAATGTTTCAGTTGCGTCCGGCAGCATTCGCTACATTCGGCTTCAGTACGAGGCTGACACTGGGGCAATCTGCCTCTGCAAACTTCAAGCATTCCTGTGAACAAAACATCGATTTGTAAAGGAACTGGTCCTTTTCTCCATCTTTGAAAGCATGAAATCGAGTTAATTTAATTTTTAAAATTTTAAATGACTTTTTTCAGCCTTTCATCGAATCTTAAATATCTTTAGTTATCCAGACAAATTACTGACAAATCTTATATTTAAACATGAAGATCCATATTCAAGGAATCAAATGCAATTTTCGATGCCTCCTTCTGGCACAATGGAATTGTACTTGCCGATAGTTTACGATATTCTTTTCTTTTATAATTTTTATTTTCTGTCTGGATTCCAAATTCATAATTTGATTGATTAATCATAGGTTTTGAAAATTTGTCTGGTTTTGAAAATCATCTCTTTTTGAATTTTAAGAACAACTTTAGCTCATTTTATGGATTATACATTGAACGAAAAGAATTAAGAAGAAACAGCCAGTATACGTTTATTTTTATATAAGGTGGGCATGAAACGCATTTGAAGAAGCGAATTAACGATTTTTCAAATCGCTCAACTCACCCCTGCTCCATTGAATATTCAAATCAATCGATTTGACTCGATGTGAAATTTCTGTCGTTCATATATTATTCTCTTAAAAAAAGTTAGAAATACCTGGGGAAGACGTAGAAACACAAATAACACGCACTCACTCATGCTAGAATTGAGAAAATGTCGAGCATAATCCTGGGTCTCTGCATCAAATCATTAAGTATCGGACTGGCCGGTATATAGCGCCTACCTTATAGAATAGAATGGAAAAGAATATAATATAATAGAATAGAAGTGTTAGTGCTGAAGAAATAGGCCCATGGCCTGTTGCTGATTCTTGTACATTTCGTGACTTAATTCCACAATGAAAAATATAATGATTGAATTCAGGCGACAAATTACCTTCTGTGTTTCATCCAGTGTTTTATTATTTAAGTAATGCGAAGAAAAATAGTATTGTAGACCGTCTTATATTGAACTTTTCATTGTAAGATTCTTAAACCAAGTAATGAAGTTCAAGAAGCGCCCTCCTACATATTTATTGATACTAAGTTAGCAATGCGTTTGCCACTGATGGGGGCTGTACCTACATTTGGTGGTTTTTGACTGAATAGTACATATTATACTTTACTTTAGAATCTGTTCTTAATTCGTTATGCATGTGAATAACATAGATTTATCCATCAACTTAAAGTTGTTTTTGAATTTCAACTTTGTCTATGAATCAGTTTCTGCCATTTTTCTGTACATATGAAAACTTGTTATAACGCAGTTACTTACATATTTCATTGCACTGGATGAAATGGTCATATATGAGCGCAGAATATTGTAAATTAAATATAAATGAATGTTTTAGAAGTCGTCATTAAAATACATGATGTAACAATGATCAAGAATTCAAATAGCAAAAAATATTTTATCATCAGTACTGTCACCACTACATTTCCTCACAGCCTGTCCAAGAAATTTTATATCTGCGGTAAGTTGTGCAGTGAACTTTATTGCTGTGCATGTCCGCAGTCATTTTCCTGGTTGCTCTTCGATTGAGCAAAATGTTGTAAATTAATGCGATGCTCATCCCGTGTCAATTCATCAGAGCATTCATATTTTAAATCGAGAACAAGATATTTTCGATTAAATATATTGCCTATAATAAGAATTGCGATGTCCACCAACACAGAGGCGAGTGAAACTTGTCGCAGTGCACCTCATTATTACAAGATTTACAAAATGATTTGGAACTAAAGTAAGATTCAGTCTTCATGTTTTTACATTTCTTCTGGTAATCTTTATAAAGGTTAACAGTCAATAAGTCGTGCAGTTCAGATTGCTTCGAGCGGCAGTTGCTACCGCAATTCCGATAGCGTGACGGTATCAAGATATGTTTGATATTTTTGTTTCGAAACGAGCGTTTCTTCCTACAAAAGTTCAAAGAATAATTCCGACTTGCACTCCACGTATAGTTGCCAATAAGCGCAATGGCGAGCTT